CGGTGGAGACGACGTCACTCGACTCGAGCAATTGCAAAAGAACTGGAATGAAAAGAAAAGTATGGATTTTTGCTGACTGTTGACCGTTGAGAAGTTGCAAGGTCCTCCGAATCGACGAGACTCTCTCGCCTGAAATGTTCGTCGGGAGAGACCTTAAAAACCTCTGGACGGTTCTCCAGTTTTCCAGCAAAGACACGCGAAAAAATCCATAGAAACACCCACGGATCCTGTCGAAATATCGAGACAGGACCGTGAAAATACGCGTCACGAATCCTTTTCGAACTCCATTGACGGTGTTAAACGATTTTTCCCACCCACGCTGTTGTAAAGTACGTTCCGGGTGGTACTTTGACAAGCTGGAAAACATCGGTTGCAATTCGGCGCGATTCTAAAGTTTCCAAAAGGGAGAGAGTCCACGGTGCATGGGAATACGAAACAGGAGGAATTACAAAACGGGGTGGGGGGGACAGGTGTGATCCAAATAGGCGCGGGGCTTAAAGTCTGTCTTCAGGACGCGTTTCCTCTCCAAGCTTCCTGTCCCTGCTCCGATTCTCCGATCTCTTCTCTCTCTCTCTCTATCGCCCTCCGTTCGATTCCTTCGGTCCCGTTTCTATTGCCAAAAACCGAGCGCACCAGCAGCACCCGTGAATGCACGTTTGATTGTCCCTCGACTGGGCTTTCTCTCTCTCTCTCTCTCTCTCTTATGAAATCCCCTCGATTCCTCCGAGTATACAAGGTTCTCTTCCCTCCTTTGCCGACTCGTGTGCCCGCTCGTCTCTCACCTTGCTCGGTTTCGCCCCTCCGTGCCACGGCGGGCTCGTCGTCGTACTCGACGAGACACGCGGGACCATTTCGAGAGAAACGTCACTAGGCAAAAGGTGTGCCCCGGGGTCAATTCAATATAAATCAGAACCGAGTCTCTGCGAGCTAAACCGAGAGACGAGGAGAGCGAAAGGAGCCGAAGAAGGACGGAGCTCCGAGAAACGGACCCTGAAGGGAAGGTGAGCGTGAAGGGAGGGGGGTTTGCTACGATGAATAGACTATTTTTAGGGACCGCTCGCGGTCTGTACACAGCCCGTATATTTCTTATACGTGTACAGTTCGCGCGTCTGTGTGTTCGAAACGACGTTTTCAAAAGGGATTAGGTACGAAGTGCTCACCTGCCCTCCCCCTAAAACCCCTCTTGCTGGCTCCTCGGCCTACGAAAATCTCGAACGTCGTGAAACTGGCGCGACGTCTCGACCAAATTTCTTCTCGTTATCATGGAGGAACGGGGGAACCTGATTCGCAACGACACCGTTCGTTCTTTTGTTCGCGCATTATTCGAGCGTTTTCGCGGCTGTCACCTACACACGGTTAAAAGATTCGTCAATCTCCTCTTTGGCTCCTCTACTCGAGTTGGAGCTTAGACAATACACCTCTGAAAATTGCAAATTCTCTATAGAGATCTTCCGTTGATGTCTCTACAGAAGGGGGATAGGTACCGAGGAGGTAGACAGGGTATGCTCACCTGCTCTCCTTCTTTTTTTCTCTCCTTTTTTTAACGATCCCCTTTTTGTTGGAAGGCTCGACGGTTCCTTCGGCCGCGATTCAATTCGCAAGACCGAATTAGATCGGCTCGTCCGTGGATCTCCCTTCATGCGTGGAAGGGGGGGGGGGGCTGGGCCCGACCCGAAACTCGTGCGCTAAGATTCCGTGGTGTTTCTTGTTTTCTTCGGGGTTACCCTCGAGGAGGCAAATCGAGAGACCGTTAGTTGGCCGCTTCTTTCTTGTGTTCGACGCGTGAATAATCGCATTGTGCGCCAGGCGGTTTTCGCGATGCGGTGCCCGCGTTGCGCGTTTCACGCGAATTAATCGCTTAAGCGACGCCAGCGGCAAATTTCTACGATCAACAGACCGATTTACTTTCAGTCGTTTATTTCACTATGCCCCTAGAAGACGTGGCTCGTGAAATGAATTTCTTACATACGAAGGACACAACGATCTTTGATCGTCTCTCGAAGGAACAACAGACTCGGAAAAGCAATTATACCATTTCTGTTTGACAAAAGACGGAGAAGGAGAGGAGATCGATAAGAGGGTGGTACGGTGTTCAGACTTCTCGTCCCGTAATTCCCATCCTCGCACGCAAGTCGTTAAAAACAGCTTTTACAGAATACATTACATGCAAAAAGGAAAGAGAGGGGGGTCTTGTCGGGTGTGCTTTTGCAAGCATGTTAAAATTCTCAACCGTCGCCCTATTTTATTTCTTTCCTCGGTCGGAGAACACGGCCCCCGATCCCTGACTCGTCCTTCGCGGGGCTCAGGCCTGTCGGCGAGACGAGGGAGCACCGAAATGGATTAAACCCGATCGAGGGGATCAAGTTGGCCCCCCCCCTCCCTCGTTTATTCCCCCTTTTCATATTTAGGACACGATCTCAAGGCGTATCGTGTGTTCGACGATCTCGCGCGGATACTTTACGACCTATAAAACCGACAGATATGGACCACATCGTATTCGGTCGTACGACCGGGGAGGACTGGAACAATTCAATGTCGTCGTTTTGCACTTGCCGTCGTTCGGTCCACAGGAACGAAAACAGTTTTGGAGGAGGTCGAGATTGTCGGAGTTTGAAAAGTTTTCAACGTTCGCTTCGGTTCGAATGTCGTCTATTCGCAGACGTTACGGTTCCGTGCTCTCCACCCTGGATAATTAAAAGACTGTAGCGGAGTTAAACACGGATTGCATCGTACTCAAAGGGCGTTAAAGAGGTCAGCGTAAATCGACGGTGCAAAAAAAGAAAATGAAAACGGTCCCTCGCAGGACCCCTCGTGCACTTGCGTCTTGATGCTCGTAACAAACACCGATTCCAAACAACGACGGTCTCTCTCCCTCTCTCTTTTACGATGGCCATTTGTCGGTTGGACACATAGGTAGATCGTTAGATGAAACGATAAAATTCACAGGTGGACCATAAGTCCCCTTTTCTAAGCGAACGACCGCACGCACTCGGGATTTATCGTGGCCTAGTAATTATAGTATCGGAACCCTACAGCTGCGCTTATTAAAGGCGCCAAAGTGGTATTTGTTTTCTAACAAAACTGTATTACGAACCACGGAATTTTCGGCCAATTTTTTAGCTAACACAGGAAACAAGAAAAAGAAGATAGGTGCCACCGGCGCAGGTGTGCAGTTCGCGAGATTACTTGGCCGTTCACACACGAAGTTCATTCACAGGAGCGTAAAGTGTCGGTCGTTATGCAAATGGCATGCGCGTACTACCGTTCCCCCGACTACCGTATATTCATCAGTGATCGGGAACATTCGAAACGTTTTAAAGATTTTCCCCTGTTTTTCGTGCACGCCGCTTATGCATATTACACGCGGGCACACCTTTGCAAGCATAGTTCCGTCGAACACAGAAAGACCACGCAACGAACGTGTGCAACCGGTCGTTTCGGTTACATGCATCGTCATACTTTTCCATTATTAGTACTCCGAAGGTAAACTTGATTCGTTTAAACTTGATTCGTAGCTTGGTACCAGCTTCCAGTATATAAAATATCGTGGAACAATTTTTTTTTTTCTCACGGTGCGAATGGCGCCAAAAGCTGTCTCGTACGGCCGAAGTAGACATCGCGCGGGAAACGATGTTCGAGAGAGGAGGGTCGCGCGTAAAGAATAGAATACGTTAAAGGTGGAGAACGGGTGAAATAAGCTTAGATAGCGATCGTCTCGTTGACGGTGCTCTTCGACACCGGCGGGCGAGGTCTCGTGCTTTGCGAGACCAGATGGAAAGCACGGTGGCGGTGCGCGCCCCGCCGGCTTCGACCATATGGGCAGGTGCCCCGCCACTGTTTTACAGGCTACCGCGTCCTATTGCATGGGCCGTGTGACGCGCGTACGATACCCACAGCGCCGAGTTGTACATGCATAAATACGTGTGTACGGCGCGCAGGTAAAGGCTGAATCGAAAGTACCTACGTGAACGCGCGTAAAAAAGTGCGTGTTTCGGGGCAAGAACGCGTGCGCGGCATGGTAACAGCTTGTATGCAAATGAATGCATTTTTAAACCTACTTCACAATGCAGCTCGCTCAGCCCCCCTAAGGAACCGTTAAAAGTGAAAACCTGCTGCTACTGCTATTGCTCCTCTAAGTTGCTGCTGCGACTGACAGTTTTCTACCTACTTTCGTCTGCTCGCGAAAAAATGTCGAATTTCGGCGGATCGATCGAAATTTCGCGGCAAAAGATTAGACATCTTATTCGCAACTTGAACGGGTTTATGTTTCCACGGGGAACACAAGCGATGGAAGGCCAACGACGAATCGACATAGGAGAATTATATTCACTCCTTTATCCTAATCGAATCAACGATTACACGGATCAACGAGTTCGCGATGCAGGGCCGGCAAGTATGTTCCTTCGCATCGTTGCTCTTCGTTCTTCCCCGTCGACCAGTCACGACCCTTTCTTACTTTTTCACGAACGATGAGAAATTACGTGAATAGTATTAGTGAATAGTAGCCGTAGGAATCGCGCGAGGCCCGTTTAGCCGTTCGTTAAAGGGAGGCAAGTGTTAAGTCGTGAAACCGACTCAGGTGTACGGGTGTTCACCTGTTTCGCTGTTTCCCGTATGCCGCGACAGGTGCGCTCCTGGACGTTTCATCACCGACTTTCTGTTATTCTTCTCGTTCGCCTCTGCGTGTCTGTGTTTCTTTTTTTCTCATTCATTCGGCCCAGGGTACGTAATTAGAACCGGACATGTATTTTCGGTAAACCGTACGGTGTCTATACGGGCCGATAGAAAACTGCTGTGACCCTTCTGTGTGTTCTTCCTGCGATCGTATCCCCTTGCATCGAGATGTGTCGCGATAAGCTGTTTCAGTTCTTTTAGCGACCGTACAGCTTATGGAATACAAAGTCTACCTAAAGGCTGAATCGATCGAAGATTTTTTTTCGTCGAAGGGAACGTGCGTGAAACGTTTCGCTTACCCGAGACTTTGCTTTCAGCCTTCAAAGATGCTGAAGTGGACGGTCTCGAGATCGTTGTCGGCTAGCAGCTCGACGCCTCACGGTCCGCCTAGCTTGAACAAGGCGCCCCGTAGACCTTTTCGCGACTTGTCCAACACGCCTCCCGCTGCTGGAACCAAAACCCGTAATATTCCCGCCCAAACGGCCGAGAACGTTTCGTCGAGGACCACGCCGGCACGTCGGAGAAGATGCAGGAGCCACGGCAGCGATTTAAGGACGTACTTTCAGGTATTGATCCCGTCTCGTAATATACATATACATATATATATATATATATTTTACTGGTTGGTAGTTACCTTGTACATTTTCATCAAAAAGAAAAAAAAAAAAGAAAATAAACGATGAGACTTGAAATTCCACTGGAACGCAGAAATATTTTTTTTCTGTCCGCATTGCAGGCAACCAAGCCCAATTTACGCGCGACAAAACGTCAGTCGATGTCACGACAACCGGAGAAGTCATCGGTCACGGAGAGTTTTTATCAGAGCACACCTCGAGTCGACGCGGATATCGGCCCGTTAACTCTTTTTCCCGCCGGTACCAAATGCTCGACAGCATTGACCCTGCCGACCGACCCCACGCTCTTCATGAAAAGTAGAGCGAAAAACTTCCAGAGCGACAACGAGCTGCCGCAGAATATCGTGAACGAGGCCAGGGCGAATCTGCAGTCGCATGTCTCGGACTTTTTTCAACAGATCTCCATGGCCACCAGTCCCGAAGACGTGATGCAGTCCGATTCGGTGCCCCTGGCGAAGAACAATAGACTCTGTTCGCCGAACGGAGATGGGAAAGGAAAGTTTGCGAACTGCGCAAAAATGACGTACCTGCCGAAACTGGCGAGAATAACGAAGATTCACGCCCGATGCAAGACCCCGTATCACACGAAGAACGCCACCGGTCCAGCCCCGAGTTCCTTCAAAGCCAAGAGTCACGGTCAGACACCGTTGGCCGGAAAACTGTCCAACTTGGCCATCGACCAGGATCTCCCGAAATTCGAAAATATGGACAACACCGTCACGGAGGTCCTCAACAGGTAAGATCGTTGTATGTATGTATATTTAACATCGTTGATGGGCGCATTGCCTGCCCAGAATTACTCGAGAATATTCGATTTCACATACCCACGTGTAACTTTAGAAATCATGATCTATTTCAAGCCCAATCTCATGGAACGAATTATGAAAATTTCAAACCGTTGAACCGCATATACACCATGGCTAATAAACTAAATGCTTCTTTTGGCTTTTTCCACATGTCATTTAGCATATTTAGATGCAAATTATTACAACTATTTCTTCTGTACCAAAGGCTTTTCCCGTTAAATAAATTAAATAAATAAATATCCTGTGAACGAGCGAAATGTTACCCCACATCCCTAATAATCACATATAAAAATGTCGTGTTCGAGCAGGGAGCAAGAACTGAATTTCACCGGGAAAACTGTGGCGGAAATTCTTTTGGGAGACGCGGAGGAGAGGAACAAGGTTCTCGAAGGTGATCGTGACGACGAGACTCTCACGAAATCTGAGCATACGTACGAGACGATCGTGGAGCAGGAAGAGAACGTGGAAGACGAAACGGCCTGCCACAACGACAGCTCCGTTTCCTCGGCTAGTCAACTACTGGAAGATCCTTCGCCGATGTCCTGGGCATTCTCATCCCCGCCCGACGATCTGAACGGAGAGTTTACCTTGAAGAGGCAACGAGGTATTCGCAGAAAACGGCATCGGAAGGACACCGAGAAAATGTACGAGGGAAAACGCGCGAGAAGACGATTGTCGAACCACAGTCCGTCGACCAACGACAAAACCGATACGGCACAGGTAACTCTGATGGAAGCCGTGAATCCGAACGTGAAAAAACTCGCGTTGGAGACCGATCTGGACATTACCTTGGACGAGAAATGCGTGTTCGCGGAGAAGGCGTTGTTCTGCGATCTCGACGATCCTTGTAAGGACGAGAAGGATCTCGACGATCCTCGCAAGGACGAAGAGGATCTCGATGATCCTTGCAGGGAAGAGGAGGATCTTGATGATCCTCGCAAGGACGAGGAGGATCTCGACGATCTTCGCAGGAACGAGGAGGATCTCGACGATCATCGTAGAAACGAGGAGGATCTCGGAAGGAAAACCATCACCTGGGATCTGGACAGTCCGAAGTCGACGGTGACGGACGATTTTCAGAGTTCGAAATCGTTCTTGAATTCTATGTCGAACACACCGGAAACACCGTTGATCGCGACCGTGAGAAGATGTTTGAAATTCAGCCCGGAGAGCGAACCGCCTAGATTGAATTGTCGCGGTTCGATCGAGATCGAGTATTCCGTCGTTGGGGATCGGATACACGTCAGGGGTAAGTTTTTGAAAGCTTTGGTTTCCATTCTATCGCTTTAATAGCATGTTCGTGTTGTTACCTATACGCATAAATGTCGGACGTGAAGAAGCAAGTCGTAAAGTCGTTGGGGGTGGGGATGGTGTAAGTATCGCGAGGGAGAGTCGGGTCGTTGAAAGTTCAAAAAGTTGCGAATCGAGGGGGGGGATAGTTTCGCGATCGAAAATTCGCACGGGTCTTCGTGGCGCCGAGACGTCCCTGAAAAGTTCGCGTGGAAAGGGCATGCGCCAGTCCTGTACCACGAGAGGGGGTGTGTTTCAGTTGGCACCCCGCGATTCACGACTGTGCCAGTAACCCACAGACCCTCCTGGCAATTGGCTCCCGGTTAGTAGGCCTACCAACATTGATTCTTGGCGGTTGACACACACACACACACAGCCCTGCGTAAACAATCTCCGTAAAATATATCCTCGAGAGGTCTCTTCCGTCTCGTCTCCCTGGATCCGCGACGTGTCTACCACCTTTTGGAACCGAGGGAGGGGGGGATGAGAGGCGTCGTATCGAGAAAATTTTCCCCCGACCGCTAAATCTGCGGTTTACCCCGGTGATACACTCCGGTCGGTATAAACGTCGAGTTTCTCGGGAAACGAAACCTTTCGGTCGCGGAAGCGGGGAGAAAAACAGATCTTCTCGTATAGATCTCGCGGCAAGTAGAAGAACGGCGCATCGGTCGGACGCTCCTCGCGGCCACGAGCAAGTACCTAGTAGTGGTGCGTGCGGCGAAACGATCGGACGGCACAACGGTCACACGAGGATCAGCTTCGTTCACGAAGTACGCGGGTTTACACGGACAGGAATTACCATGCACGGTGTTATCGGTTGTAATGGATCGTATTACAAGATAGTTTCGGTATCGAGCTCGTCTAGTGTCTGAAGCAAAAAGGCCGCGGCGGAGGAGGCGACGCTTCCGCGGGCTAAGCGTTTTACTCCTTCCACCCTACGATCTGACGCATTCGTCTTTATCTGTTTCCGCGCAGTGATCAGGTGCAAGGACCTCAGGAGGGCATACGAGGGTCCGATCCACGCTTACGTTAAGGCTAGCTTGAAGAACACGAACGGCGAGGGGGTGGTGAAACGGACTGCGGTGCACAGGGCCACCCCGAATCCCGTTTTTCACGAGACTTTGATACTACCCTGTCTGGCGAACAACAATCACTGCACCAGCAAGCCTACGTCCCTGGACATCGCGGTCTGGCACAGGGATCGTCGCGCAAGGTGAGCATGCTCGAACAAACGCGTAAGCAAATGGAGAGAGAGAGAGGGGCTCTCGACGGGATGATAACGAATCAACTGGCTGCACGTACACCGAAATTAATCTCGAACGTGGTCCGGCTCGAAACCCTGTGTGTTTTCCTGAAATTTTCACGTTCCCTTTTACCTTTGCCTCGACCCGTAATTGGCACGTTCCGGTACCGTGCCGTTCGAGGCACAGATAACACCTTTTAGCCGATTAAGTCGGCGAAACGATAGTTACCGCCGCTTAGTACACGCTGGGAAGATATTAATCTCACGCAAGCCACGTTACCGTGGACACCGTGAGAATGTTTCGGAACGTTTCACGCCTGCGATTCGAAGCAGGAATAAAAAGAATTCGTTTCAATAAAATTCTAGCTTCTCGGTATTCATAGACGACACTGGAAGGAATCTGTTCGACGAATAAAGTCAGTAGCGTTGGCTCGTTGATAAAGTACAGATAATTTCGTTTTTCCACACGTCGCATAAATAAAAGGGTGCTTGTCCGTCCACGCGAAGAGCCGACGAAAGCAGGCGTTGTCTGCGAGAAAGATGTATCGAGGTCAAGAACTGCGACTCGTCGACGTGGATTCCCGACGTGGAAGTTTATAACGATCGTGTTCGTTAGATTCTAGTTCGTCGAGTTGCGCGTTATTTATCGCAAATACGAATAAGAAATTCGTATGTTTTAGAATCGGGTGTCGTTCAACTCTGACATCCAATCGTAGTAAAACCATCAATCTGTTCGTGGATACGCGCAAGAAAGACAGAGAGAGAGAGAGAGAGAGAGAGAGAGAGAGAGAGAGAGAGAGAGAGTTCGGTGACGTGTAAGGATCCCGCAACGCGAGTGCGGTAATTTTCCCGGTCGATAAGGGCCGTCTCGAAACGGGATAATTTTTACGTTGATTCCAAAGCAACGGTCCATCCGAGTATCGAAACGAATTTCTGGGGTATACGCCGGATTCCTTGCGGTAGGAGGGGAATCGATTCTCCGGAGGCATGCGCATCGCGTTCACCACGTGTACCTTCGTCACATCCGCGCGTCTCTGCAACGGTTCCCTCCTCTCTATGTAAATAGTCGAAAGTCGCGTGTATGCTTGCCGTCTCTGTATATAGACGATCTACTACCACGTAACAGCGTGGCGTACGTATCCACGCGCAGAGCTACATACGCAAATCAGTGTGTATGTATCGGCTAACACATCGGTATACGCATGCTTCGATAAAGAGTATTTATGCACCGTTCCGTTCTTTCCGTTTCAGACGTAGCGAACTGTTGGGCTGCATGACTCTGCCTCTACCCCTGTCCCAGGACAAGGTAAATATACTTCGTACTTTAATTTACGAAATTATAACGAATCGAGCATTGTTTGAATCGAGTCGTGGTTTGATTGTTCGTTGACCGTCCATTCGTGGAATCGAACAAGGAAGTTGGACGGACGATCACGCGCGTCAGCTGTTTGCCGGGATTCCTAAGTCTTCCTCGGCTTAAGGTCATGGTTAAGCTCGTTACGGGGCAACCAAGCGGAACGTTATCCGGCAAAGATTCACTTGCATTTTGACCTCGTTAAAAGTGACAGGTGCTGTCCGTGTATCCTCGTCCTTTACCGTTATTTTGGTCCGTGACCGGTGGTGGAAAACAACGATGATCGTGGTGGCGATTTATTGCGTGGTTTTCTTCGTGGTCGGTGTTCTGTTGAAGATATTCATGTTCTGCTGAGACGATGGAACGAACGTTTCGGGAATGCCGTTTCGCGTCGATCGTGCGGGCAATCGAAACGGGGAACACGGTGTATGAATGGAACGAAGAGACTCGAGCGTGGAGACGTTTCACGGCCTAGGACGCGAAATCGTAAAAGTTCCCGGAAACTTTCGATCATCGCGATTCCCGTCGAATACGTGCATACAATTCCAAACGAATCACCGCGTACCGAGGTGTATATCGCGTATATTCGTTCGCGAATCGTCTGGAATCGTGTCTGATCGCGTAACGTTTCGAACATTCCAGGAAGCGACATGGCATCCGTTGGAGGCAGGAACCGGCCGAAACACGAGCAGCATTTGCGCGGGTTTGCCCCAGGACTGCGGAGTCTCGCCCCCTTTGTCCAGGGACGGAGAAGCAGATAATAATAATTCCAGCGGAGAGAATCTGACGTACTTGAGGTATCTCGAGTTGGAGCCGATCGATCCTTTGACCGGCCTGCCGTTGCATCCGGGTTTCACGGCTAGGGGTGGCAGAACACCTTGCACCGTCACCAGGAGATTAATCAGACAGACTACAGCTAATCAGGTTAGCCTTCCCCGGCCCTCTCCACTTGGTCCCTCCTACCGAGGAAATCCGCTCAACGACAAATAGAATCAAAGAAACGAACCGGAGTGTTCGCGATGTATAAGTGTATACCTTTGAAAGTCCATTGTCGTGTTTCGCTTGGTCACCCGGCGAGATCTCGCAGCAGGTTCACGGGCGACCGGCGTCACGACGATAGGCCCGATGCCCATGACTCCTTAAAGTGGGCCTTCTCGTACGCTTTTGTACGGAGCCACTCTCCCTTTCGTGACCCCCTGTCGTCTCGGCGAGTTTCGTCCAAAGCTCTCCCGCGGGCACAACACCGTTCCTCGTCCTAAACGCTCATTATTCTTTACGGCGTGTCAAAATTTCTTACAGGGTGCGCAATTTTTTTTTTTTTTTTCCTACTCTTCGTAGATTCCATGGGGATTCTCGTTATCCTGGGGAAGACCTCCTCGCGTGGAGCGCGTGGACCCTGGAAGCCCGGCGGAACGTTCCGGTCTGAGGCCAGGTGACCACGTGGTGTTCGTCGATACGACGAACGTGGTGACGCGACCGCGCGAAGAGATCCTCGGGTTGATTCAGACGGCCACGAATCAGCTTGTCCTCGAGGTCTACCGTAAAGGAGGACAGGTTCAATCGTCGATGCATCGGCCTAGCTCGATGAACGTCAGTCTTCAGCAACCGATCGGCGGAAGTGGAGGCGCAGGTGGACAGCACGCGGTCGCGTTCAACGCCGAGGTCGGTACAGGCGTCCTGGTCTGAACTTACTTTAGCTGGAATCGTTTACGAATATTAATCGAAGGAACGGGAAACGAGCTACGAGATACGAGCAAAAAGAAACGGTGTCTCGGTGGTTCGTAGCTTCGATCAGTCTTGATTTCTCTTCCTTGTTTTCGTTCGTATTCTTATAGTTCGCGTGTCGATCCGTGCGAATCGAATCCCGAAATTGTTGTTCGAGTTTGATATGGCATGTGGTAAACTACAGTAAGCGCGTCTAGGTTTTGCTCAGAGTAAGATAACGGAGTCGAGGGAAACGTAGATAATGAGAATAGTTACCAGGAAAAATTACCGAATGTTGTAACTGTCGCGTATCTATGCGACGAACATTTTTTTCCTTAAATCGAACGTGGATAACCCGGGATGAAAACTCGTTGTGCGAACCGCGATATATATACACACACATACACACACACACACACACACACACACATACACGTGTATACTCGAGAGCTTATTATAGTTTATGTTTCGTTGCTCGGTATGTCGCGGCCGTCGCGTCTGTACATTTTTTCTCGCGACTGTGCCGTGGCTGTACTTACAATATTAGCGTGAACGCCTGGTGTATAGCGCGTGGCCCCCCCGCCCCATTGTCCGGGGCAGGGAGACACTATTAAGTTATGTTTTGTAATGTCAAACGGTTGTCTTTTCGTTTTCTTTTTTTTTTTTATGTTGTTCAACAAGTTCTGTTTCAAACCCTTCGGGTTGCGTTCCGTTTATTTATTTCACCCATCTCCCCCTTAACTTTAAGCCGCGACGTTTAGCAAATCCGACCGAACGAAGTTTCCTCATCGTCCTGCATGCGCACGTCCCCGGTATGCATACATATATTTTCCTTTAAACGTTCTCCATTTAAAACTGGATACGAAACCGGGCACAAGTTTTTCCGAGTGGACGCGTTCAGGTATTCCCGAATCTCGCGCCGGACGCGCCACCGGAAGAGGAACTGTCCGTACGTGAGACGCGGTACTGGGGCGTTTTGAAGAACGGTCACACTCGTCTGATGGCGCCACTGATCGAGAGGCGGGACGTCCTTTCCGCCGCGGACTATATGATACTCTTTCAAAATCTCGACGAGTTGCTCAAAATCTCCGAGGAGATTCGCGACGAGGGCGGCGGGGTCGACAGTTATCTGTGCAGAGTTCCCCGAATCACCGCCGCCTACAGACGATACCTGAGCGGTCTGCAACGTGCTTGCTGTCTTCTGGTCGCCCTCAGACGGAACACGGCGTTCGCGAAGCTAGTGTGCGAGCCCTCCGTGCCGCAGAAACGGCGTCCCGATCTGACAGGCGTGTTGTTGCTGCCTCTGGAGCATTACAGGTGCGTTCCCTGAATCGCGTCGATCCGTTTCCCGTGTCTCGTCAAGGATTACTTACGTCCGCGAGAATTTTCAAGGAGTTTCCCTTTGTAGAGAGATGACGAGACTCGTGGGTCTGGCGTCGCCGAGGAATTGCCAACAGGCCAGAGATTTGGCGCAAGGTTATAGAGAAGCTACAGCGAACGCAGGCGTGATGGAACCCCCCCGTGACACCGGTAGACCTTTGCTCAGCCTGCAAGAGGTGGAATCTCGTCTGGTTTTCGCGAGATGCAAACCGTTCACCCTGGCGATGCCCGGACGGCAATGGTCTGTCGACAGTTTCTAAAGGTTAAGGCGACTCGGTCTGACATTCCTCTCTGAACTGTACAGTGTTGCAGGCTGTTTGGCGGTGCGCTTGCGAAAGTCGAAGGTCGAGCACGTCTGCAACCGTCGTGGGCGTTGCTTCTCACCGATCTGCTGGTGTTCGCACGGGTCTCCAGGGATCGGGTTTTATTCGTGACCGAGGAGCCGTTGCGCCTGTCGAACATCGCCGAGGCTTGCTTCACGGTCCGTAAACGACCCACGGAATTTCGACTCCAGGTCGCCATTAACCCGTCCGGGAACGCGGAGAATGGTCACATGGAGGTGAGCAACAGCGGGGGTTGCAGCCCTCACAGTCGGCCCCGAAGACGAGTATTAGTTTTACGAGCCCCCACGCCCGAGCTGAAGGCTGTCTGGCATAACCTCCTTCAACGGCAAATGTACGTTCGATTCGTAAGATCGCGGCGAGTTTCGTGGAACTTTGACTCGATACGATGTATAAGGTACGCGAGCTCAAGCTCGAAACGATACCGAGGGAATCTGTCTGTAACGTCGATGATGTACCGTAGTCAGACTTCGACGAAACCCACGATGAATTAGGTTAAACACCCGACGGTTCGTTCATTTCTCTCTAATTTGCATTAATCTGTTGCATTTTAGAATCTATGTGAATACAGGATATGGGGGAACGCCTAGCCAAGACAGCCCGGAAGAAAGTCCGATCACCAGTAGCAATTTCCCCGCTGTTAGGGATTCTATGGAAAGTTCGCAGGTAAGAAAATTTTATCCGAAACATGCTTCGGAATGAAAATGGCGCAACGTTAATCGTGTTCCCGCGTCCACAGACTATCAGGGAAACGTTGAAACCCGACGAGGAGAAGGAATCGCATTCGGCCGAGAGCATCGAGACGATAATCAAGAATTCGAGGGAGGACAATCATTTGGCGCAATGGGTACGCAATTCCCGTCAGATTCCGCCGCCTGATCACGAGGAGGCACCGATCGAAGAATGGACGCCCGAGGAACTGGCCGCGAGAGCGCCCAAGGAAACCATGGACGGATCGGACGGCGGCCGGAACACTCCGGCTGAGGAAATTGTCACCGAAATAGGGAATTCCGACGTGGAACAGCAGAGTACCGCGTCCAGCGCGAGTCTGAGCACCGTAAAGTCTAACTGCGTGTCGACGAAAAAAAACGGCAGCTTGGCTTCCTCCAAAGAGAATTCGACGAGTTCCATTAACATATGTCGAAGATGTCACAGGTACCATGTCCGACGAAATACTCCTCTGGTAAATATTTCAATGTTCTCTGGGGGTTGAATTGTAATCTATACGGGTCTAACCGTAGATCGGGTTGCCCGACGCCGCCTCTAACGAGGGATCCGTTTTCTCCGTTGCCTCCAAAGATTTCGGTCGTACCGCCGACGCCTGATCTGTGCACCAAGCATAGATTGAGGAACGGACTGTACGACAGCCCCGGACGTAACAGTCCGAGTTACACGCCGGCCGATGGTAACACGGAAGACGGCAGCGAGGACGACCTCGATTGCGACGGTGAACCGCCTTATAGGTAAGAATTTTCTTTGGAATCCATAATCACGGATGGTCGTGTTATCGACATTGTGTCCAGCACGGAACACATAGTCCGGTTGTGTTCAGAGCTCTCCGAAGATTCGGCACGATGAGTAGTTTGGATCAAGACGATGAGCTCGAAGAACAAGGAGAGGATGACAATCGAGATTCTGAGTCTCCGCCCACAGGGTTGAGAGCATGGACTGCTAGAGCGAGCAGCTATGTGGTCAGTAAAATGGTATTGCTCGAGCAACTCAGCGAAGGTGTCGGAGGATATCTCCTTCAACCGCCGGTGCCACCGGAGAGAACGGAATACTCGTTGGATCCGAACGACGAGGAGGGCACCACGTCCGGAGCGACATCCGGAGACGATATCTGGGGAACTCCGACTTCCGGTGGTCCCGACGACGAAAGCTTCTCCGCGAGTTCGGTAATGATACAGACTATTTCAAGATTGTACGATACACGACGCGAGCGATCGAGCAAAATTTTAAGCAACTCGCAGCTTTGTGCACCGAATACTTGCTTCGTTCGCGCGCTCCTTTGCCAAATAGAACTCACACTCGATTGTGTATGCGCGTGTTTATTATTAGTACATTCTCGACAGTTTCGCTTTCCTTCGTTCGTTATACATACATCTCACGATCACGAGTGTGTTTAGCTTGCTTGCGTACACGACACGTTAACGCAGAACTATCTCGACCATTAATATACATAGTTTGTTATTCGCAAAGGTAAGGTAGTTTTAGTTTTGTTCAGACTTTCCTTGAAACCGTCGTTGCGATTCAAATATAGTCACCCACGTCGCGTTTACACTTTCGAAACGACCCCAGATATGCAAAAAAAAGAAAAAATTGATTCCCAACGATTTCCGCGTATACGAGCCCGGGCGGGATATGTGTCTCGTACTCTCAGCGAGAACGAAAGAGAAAAATACCGAAACGACACTGAATCCGGCGTGAAAGACCAATGCTAGCCCGTAAGCTTCGCACGCATCTGCATGAACAATGCTTGCCCTTTGTTTGCAAAGAATCACTAGCCCGAGCTGTGCCTGACTTCCCTAGCCGCCGCCAAACGGTGCAGGCAACGCGGCTGCCACCTCCGGCGAGGACAACTACGGCTTGAACCTGTCGGCGGACGACGACGCCGATCAAGAGTCCGAGACCGAAGACTGCAATCTGCCCGAGTTGAACATGGATCAGTTGCTGGGCAGCGGAAGCCTCGGCTCGCTCAGGTGTTTCTTAGGTAGAAGACGGTTGGAACCGCTCCCGGAAGAGGAGGACTCGCCCGGGAGCGGAAAGGATCAGGTGGGATGGTGGTGACAGAGGTTTCAAACGGCGACGACGAAGAACGTCGGCTCGAGCAACGATGCGAACGAAAGGGATCGTATTTTCGCCAAGTTGAGCCAGGAGGACGAAGAGTTTCGCCGGAAGATTGTGAATCTTCACAGAAAACTGTCGGACGTTGACGACAGTTGCGCGACCGCGTCCTCGGATACCTTGAAAAGTTCGAAGGAAGCGGACCGCTTGAAGGAACTCGAGTCGGTCGCGCAAAGAGCGGAGGAGACCAGCAATCGAAATGCCGAGAGAGCAAAGAGGGAGGCTTATTCCTCCTCTGAAGCCGGGGACGCTCGAAATCGTAGGTACAGACGTGGAGACACGCAATACGATCGGCGAAGGCAAATGGAATTGCTGCAAAGGAAGTCGAAGAAGTTCGACGAGGATTCAGACGATCAGCACGACTACAGCCCGACTAGAACGTCCGAGAAGAACTTTCTGAATAGGTTGAGAATCAAGAGACGCAGTATGAAGCTGCTCAGTTTTTTGAGCGGAAAAGCCGCGGACAGATCGCAGGAGGAGCGCGCTGCGAGACTTCTCAGGATGTACATGCCCGAGAAAGGATCCAAAGCACAAAATACTATTTCTATTCATCATACGTCCAGAGACAGGCGATTTTGGAAACTTCGGAGTCGGAGGCGAACCAATTCCTCTTAAAAAAAAAGGGGGGAGACGGAACTGCTTCACGGGGAACAGAGGAGCGGTCGTCACTTTGTTATTAGGACTTCCAGTATTCGCGTTGTACAAGTTTTTTCAATTCTATTATATTCAAGCATGTACACATGATCGAACCTGTTTTCATAGAGTCTAGCATAAAACCGTACGGCACTAGGTTTACGATTTCAAGTTTAGACTATCTCTTCGATCCGTAAAACGGTTTCAAAATAAAACAGTACATTCACCAGGAACGGTTAGCCAATTACAAAGTTTCGGAAACGTAAGGAGTTGCGTCTTATATCGTAGCGCGCTTGTCGGATTTTCGACGGAACGGTGTCCCCTCCAAAGAGAATACGATATACGGCCTAGTGGTTTGTCTTCGAGAGGTTTCGTTTATCGCGTAAGACTGCCGGTTACGATTCTAGTATCGCTCATTAAACATTAGATACGATTTGTTTCCGCGTTTTCGAACACTGTATTTAAGTAGGTCCGCACGACTGACCCAAAGCGGCACTCATCTTCCACGATAGAACTTGCTCGAGAATACAGAATGAAAAAAAAATTCTAACAAAAAAAAAAAAGACACCGAAATTTTAACATTCCTGTTGGTAGGTTGTAACATGGCCGCATGGCCCTAATCAACATGCAAATAAAGTATATTATTTGTTCAACAGTTTCGTTTGCATTCCCCCCAAAAAATACAAGAAATGAAAAAGAAACAAATTTATTATTTAATGTACACTCCCTTATGCATTGGGTACAAGAGCTCCCTGTAACCATTGAAGTCTCAGTTTTTCTGATACATTGGGGTATTCTAATCTCTTCATGGAATTCCTAAACTCCTCTGTAGCTTTCACACGAGCAGGATCTAGTTTACCAGTGACATAAATAGTCCCAGTAGGATGGGCATAATACTCTGTTAAGTCATCAATAGCATCAAAGTTATCAGGCGTCGTTACTGGAACAATTTTTATCAAATGCTTCACACGCCAAAGTTCTATGCACATTTCTGGTGTATTCTTTACAAATACAGGTTTGTTTTCCTGGAAAAGTAATTTCGATGATAGAGCTTGAAAATGTTATTTGTTGGAAAGTTAGACAGTGAATTTCTTACCTTTTCTCTGAATCCTAATTTTGCGATAATATCCTTTTCCCACCAAGGATTACCTTTAATCGGTTTCACTCTATGAATCATTAGAACTTTCGACGGAACGATCGGAGGATCTACGTGATCCTTCTTACTGAAATGAGAATATGTTAGTATCGACAAATACCTAACGACAACGTTAAAGGCGGTGTTCTGCTTCTTACACTGGATGATATTTGACTTGATCGTATAAGACGGCATCTTTTCGCCACGATTTTTGATAGTGCCGGAAACGACGCACAAATGATAACGGAACATTCATTTGAGTTGCCATTTTCTTAAAGTTACGCGAAATATTATTCGATTACTTAATTGTGCTGAATAGGTTATGCAATTAAGATAGGACGCACAGATCTTGTGAGACAGCAATCATTACACCATTAATGACGCAACTACAAAAATTGTATGACTACAATTCAGAAGTTTATTGTCAATTACGGATCTTTTTTATCACAATAACTTAAATATCTTTACGTTTAGCAATACGTCCCACATCACACCGCTATTCCACGCGACATATGCATTCATATGTAAATCGAGCATCAATGCACCATGTGTTCAAAGATATGTAATGTATCTTGATAAATCGATTTCTTTGTTAAAGTCTGTTGATTCGATATTACGTATTAATAATTGTTGTTTATAACATTTTTATTTAATGTTTCATGTATTTATCCCTAGTCGGATTGGTCAACAAGACCTACGGTGTCATCTACGGCGAAAGGGTTCAAGCTACTAGCCAATTGGTACAATGTTCTTGACGCTAAATGGCGCCACCGTGACCTTTAATTGAACATTTTACTGAAAAATTAAATACCAGTTTAAAATAGCAATAAATAGTAACTATTATTAAAAAGTACTAATATTGAAAACTTTACTGCATAATTTGTTTTCAGTATGGTATGTTTTCGATTCTTCTTTCCTTGTCTTTATTAACTGTTCACCGAAGTAAACTGTATCTTCATTGTCCAATGAGAGTTCTTATGTATTGTGTTTACATATTAATACATGTTATTGAATTTCTTAATATGTATATAAATTGTAAATTGTGCATTCGAAGGATATGATAGCAGTATCTGGCGTTACAAATATCAACGTAACAACGGTGGTACTAATTGGCTACTGACTTGGGCACTTTGTGACAGATGGCGTTACACATATTGCCAATCATATTTTGAAAAATTAGAAACTCAGGACATACAGTCGAGCGATCGATTCCAAGAAACACAGAAAACTTTGTGAAACCATCGGAGGAACTATTTATCATGTTTTACGGTATGCTTATACATATTTTCAAAGTACACGCTATTGCAGTTTAATTAACACTGTATAACCGAAGAAATATGAAGTATGATTGAACTGAATGCGAGGAATGTCTTCAATCCCAATTGAAATCCTAAATTCAAACTACTAGGTTATGTATGAATCGGCGCAAAGTAAGATAGGCTTCGAATCGTTAAAATTACAAAAGAACTTTTCGCAATGAAAGCTTCGAAGTGGTGTTCGAGGCTAACAGTTAAATTTCGTCCACCTTCGAGAGTTCGTCGACATCTCGTATTCAAATATTCCTTCCGTTCCCGACATGGCCGGGAGTCTGCAATCCAGCAACCCCATCGCGTTTCAAGATTACCTCGAAATTCAGTGCATTCCTAGAGGGTGCACGCTTCCGGGCATCCTGTTTCACCGAATAATATTCAAATACCGCACCGTCGTGTTTACGACCGACGACGACAGGGACTCAAGGAGCTCAAAATCCTGGAAGATTTGTCGTAATGCCAGGAAAAATTAATTAAATCCCAACAGCCATCCTACAGAGTCGTCTGCGTCGCAGCATACCGTAGTTAAACGGGAACGAGCGAAGTTTCGCCGGAGACAGAATTCGCGACAACTTTTCGAATGCAAACGCGACATCGATGTCAGGTCCGGGGGCGAAGAGAACGTTTTCAGAACGCCAAGACCCAATATTCAGAGTGAATGCATTCGATTCTATTCCGTGTATCGCGTTTACCTTCGCGGGATTTTCAATGGAAACTTATTCTCGCGGAAATGTTATCGGCATTATGGTCGGAAATGACGTAAGAAAAGAGAAAAAAAAATCCGCGAAGCGAAAGAAAAATGCCCGCGTCCCCGTTCGTGTTCCTCGAAACTTTACAACGAATCGACGAGTATCGCGTGCATTCGCGTCGAAATTCTCCTCGATCTTTTCGACGGTTATTTTCGCAGCGTGAAACTTCTTCGGCTGCACTTTTCCACGCAGTTTTCAGCGCATGTAATAGATCGTTCTCTCGTCACGAACGTCGAACCACGTTCCGGCATCGTGAAAAATTGTACATACGTAGTCAGGAACGTGTATGCACTCTTGCGCGCACCGTTCGTTTTCCTCTCAGCGTCACTTTATCCCCCGTTTCGATTTAATGCAAATATGGGAACGGCAACCGGCAACCAGATACTGAATATCTTTTTCCAAACCTCCTCCAGTCGGGGTCGAAGAATTTTCAATAACTCGCGATCCATCCGATACAGCCCCATACTTACGTATAAATTTTCTCTTAAAATTCGTTCGTTGATTCGTGTACGTAAGTTGCACGAGTAACCTATAGAGATCCGTAATTTTTAATATATCATTTTTTTTTTCTCCTTTTCCAGATGGTGCGTTTAAGTCGGCGGATCTTCGCGAAGGCATCGCATCCAAGCATCTATTCCTGTCGCGAAAAGGAAATCAGTTCGCTTAATCCTTTCTTCGTTTCTCGTCATTCAATCGAATATTCTTCTCTTCTAGCCCAAATCGGATTCGATATCTCACCGATCGGTCGGCGAAGAGGTTTTCTTTTCGTTCATTCCCGTGTAACGTCTGTTCGAAATGGAACTTGAATTTCCATCGTGCCAGGGACGAGTGTAATTCAATCGGAGCTAATGGACCGTGAGCGAAGCACCATCGGTAATCTCGTTTCGGTGTCTATTGTGGCCTGCATCGCGCGGCTACACGCCGACGCGCATACCACGGACTACTCCACGGGGGACTCTCTCGTGTACCCGAACGGCGACTTGGAAAACTAATTGACCGGGGTATCGAGTCGCTGGTTCCGATCGCTCCGAGAATTTCTCTTCTCCACCGGAAAAACCGCACGATCGATCGTACGCGCCATGGCGGGGAAATACAGCAAATTCTCTGTGAGTATTCGAAAGCTTCTTAACATTGAGAAGGAAAGGTGTCCCCAGTTGTAACGCTGACTTTTTAATGAGGTTCAGCAAGTTGTTTCAGCCGTATTTGGCCCTTAGTTTATGAAATATTTAATGTTCAGTGCTCGAGTCCCCTACTTGCACACGTATTTCAGTGATTTCTGATAACAGTCCATGATAGATTCCCAGCCCAAGCGCGTTAGCCGAATAAAATCGACGAACAAGACGTTAAAGTTTGTGTCTCGATTCGAGAGGCTATGAAAGTTTCGCGATTCAATTACACGCCAGTCGAAAGTGCGTCGGAAGATCTCGGCGATCGGCGAGATTTGTGCGGAAACTCTGTTGCTCGAAAAACTCCCCTTAATATATGTGTCCGTGATAGAGGTTCTCTCGCGTAGGAGATACGGTGGGATAGTTGCGTTCCCCAGGATTTATGTGCAGCTATCTGTTTGCCTTGGAAATAATCGTATTTCCTTTCCAGGGTTTCGACGACGAATTTTCTCCGCTGTGAATCAGGACGGAATTTTAAAAGCGCCGGCCGAATATAATTGTTTCGAGCGCGTTGGCGATTTTCCGTCCGATTCAACCTACCGATGAAAAGTTTGCCTCGACGATGGTTAAAAGTTGCGCCGGATTTTGACGGAGTAAACACGGAGTGGCCTTTCTTCCTGTTACGAGTTGAAGGTTGATTGCAGCTTGCTCCGCTTTTTCGGAAGCAGGAAGGCGTGCGGGACGAAACGAAATATAGGAGGTGAAACACTCGAGAATCCATGAAAATCCCTTTCGCGCGAAGAGAGGAAATATTCGCCGGCAAAAGGTTCGCAATTTTGAACTTTCTTAGCGTATCAAACACACAGGATTTGTGGTTTTTATTTATTCCGCTTGGTTTGTTCGTCACGAGGCATCGTTTCAATCCCGCTGAACACCGTCGACGAATTATCACGTCGTTCGCGATTTATGGTTCTGCTTTCGTGGACCGAGTTCTCCGGTATATATTCCGTCAAGGGATATTCAAATATCCTTGACGAGAATTTTAACGAAGTCCCGGCGAACCGAGGCTTCGTTTCCGACGGAATAAATGGCCGGCTTAACCGAAGCGGCTTAAACTTTGCTCCTGGCCCGTGAACGTCAGCTCCTACGACTCGCCGTCGTGGCCGGAAGACCGCGAATTTTAATCGAGAGTCGCGTCGCAACTTCGGTCGCCGGGAACTTTCAAGCACCTCTCCTCGTAAGACTTTAACTTTGTGCCCGGCGAATATATTATTTTCTCACGACGCATCCACGGGACTTTGTCAACGGATCAAGTACGATCGGCTTCCAATTAACCGGATCCCCCGAATCGATGCCTCGGAATGTTAATTAACACGACGTAAACTTTTCTCTCTCTCTCTCGTCTCGAGGACGCACGACGGGAAACCGAATCGAATTATTCGCGAGTAAACTTTCCACCCGAGAAATCTGATGAAGTCATTCCGCCGGGTTAAGTTCGCAATCCCAATGGCAACCACTTCGATAGTTTTATTATCCTCTTACTTTTTTCCCCTCCCTACGGTCTGTACCTGTCCGACAAATGCCGCGAATTCCAACGGACAGTAAAAGGAATCGAATTAAGTAACTCGAGGAGAGCCGGGACCCAAACTGTCGCGATGTTTTTTTCTTTCGTCGTCGTGGAAATTACTTCGGTCCAGGAAGGGAAGGGGGAGGGGGCGGGCCACGGTGATTTTCCGTATCGGATACGAGCACGCACGAAAGAAATCTGGTGGATCGCCGCGACGGTCCGAGAATCATCATTTCGATCGTGAGTGTCGAAGACGCAGGAGCTGCTGCGGAGTCGTCTCTGGGTACTCCGGTTCCTCTCGTAACGGTCGATATAGTGGGGATAAGTGGAAACGCGTACGAATCCGGCCCAAGAGAGTACATAGTATAGTAAAGACGGATCGGGTAAGAGGTAGAGTTTACACACGCGTGCTCGTTCGGGGCCCGATGCGAACCAGCGTGTGCCATTTCGAGCTTGCACGTTCCCGGACGAGGACGCGTTTTTCTTCACGCTCGTCGATCGTAGATCGGTCATCCCGACGAAACGTGTATCACAGCGTCGCGTCGATAAAGGGAAATCGATCGAGAGAGGATGCCGTTCTTTAAGAAGCTCAGGAGATTCTCCAGGCACAAAAGTGAGTTTCATTTATTTACAATAATTTCATCTCGTTTGTCTCGTCATTCGTTCAAATCTGACTAATCTTGAACGTCCGCGACAATCATCCGAGAATAGTTCGCGAGGGACTTACTCTGGTCGACAACGCGGGAAAGCCGGAAAAATCGTTGGGACCGCCGAGGGGGGCCGGGATTCCCGTACTCGTCGAAGCTGAAAAACTTGCCGGTGCAGCGGGTG